CTTCTGAACTCGGAATGAAAGGAGAATGGCATAAAAGATAAGAAGTTAGTTGTGTTCAGTGCTGAAAACACATGCTTAAATCCATGCTGACCTATGAATCTTATTGGAGCGTCACAGACACTTGGGGTGCCATTTCAGATTTTTGGGAGAGGATCAGCAAAGTTGAATGGCTTTATCAAAGACTAAAGTAGGTAAGGAATTATTATTGCAGTTATTATTCACCTGATAATATCTATAGCAATGTTATAAACACAAATCAGTGATCTGCGTTTTGCTTTTAAGCAAAGGGATATGTGTGCCTATAAGGTACGTAACTGCTATGTAAGGTTACAATACCAACCATGCTTATTCCGAAGTAAGCCCTACTGAATTCAGTGGTGCTTACTCCCAGGTAATGATGCAAGAAGGCATATCTTTCTATCCTGCGCATTCTATCCTGCCCTGCATTGGTTGCATGCGGTTTTGTTTCCGTTCGGCTACAGTTCATCTTCTGCCAAAAATTGCTATCTGTCTCGTCATTCGCAGGGGCAAAATGATGTAAGTTGCATAGTTGATTCTGTAAGTTATGTTGGCATTACAATATTTCACATTGTTCATTTCAATGCAAAGGAAACATAATGGAAATTGCGGGGGTGGGGGATGTAATCAGTTGTTTGCAGACTAAAAGCGGCAACAACAGGGAAATACCCATCATATTTGCTGGGTTGAATTTCATTCTGTACAGTGGTACCTTGGGTGAAGAACTTGATTCGTTCTGGAGGTCTGTTCTTAACCTGAAACTGTCCTTAACCTGAAGCACCACTTTAGCTAATGGGGCCTCCTGCTGCCGGTGCGCCACTGCTGCACAATTTCTGTTCTCATCATGAAGCAAAGTTCTTAATCCGAGGTAATATTTCTGGGTTAGCGGAGTCTGTAACCGGAAGCATCTGTAATCTGAAGCGTCTGTAGCCTGAGGTACCACTGTACATGGGAATTTCTGCCCCCTTTTCTGTTTGTTTGGTTGGTTGGTTGGTTGGTTGGTGGTTTTTTTTAATTCTCCAACATCCCTACACTCAGGTGAGTGGGTTTAAAATTGCAGCCGATGGGTGGGATTCAGTGGCGTGATAAGGCAATTGTTCCATTAACTTCACTTGGGGAGTAGAAATGTTTGTGTTATCTCCCATCTCCTCTTACTATATGCTGACTTGCGGGTGGGTCAGAGGAGAGGGGAGGGGAGACCCGTTTTGCTAGTGGGATTTGGGATCATTTAGTTGAATTTGTACCTTAGTCTGTTTAATAGTTTATAACAGCACCTTCCTGTGTTCCTATTATTTCTAGGCCTCTTTCTGTCCTCAAATCCCACTATGCAACCATGGTGGAAGTGAGTGGTTCAGGCTTCCCCCTGATGGTTGCAGACATCGCTGTAGCCAAAGGGCAAATGACACAACATGCATGAAACATTGTGGTTATTTTTCTTACATATAATAAAAATGTAAGTTAGTCATCACGTGGCCTCTATTGGAAGATTTGTAGCGCTGCATCACAACCTTGGATTAGCAGGAAGTCAGGGCAGGGAAGGGCAACTGAAGAGGAGGCAGGTATGGGCATGGGAGCAAGAAGGAAAGGATACTGAGAGGGTCAAAGTGGTCTTTAAACCAGGCATAGGCAAACTGGCCCTCCAGGTGTTTTTGGCCTACAACTCCCATGATCCCTAGCTAGCAGGACCAGTGGTCAGGGATGATGGGAATTGTAGTCCCAAAACATTTGAAGGGCCGAGTTTGCCTATACCAGCTTTAAACCAACAGGGGAAGCCATTCACATGTTGTATTTCACTCCTGGTATTATAGGATGCTTTCAGCATAACGTTCCAGATTCAATGTGCTAATGTAGAGAGTATATTATTAATGAGCAAACAACACATTCACGACATCCATCAACTGAACTTGACGTTCTCTAGCTGAACAAGCTGACAGTTAGATACTCTTAAGAATACAGTGGTACTTCGGGTTACATACGCTTCAGGTTACATACGCTTCAGGTTACAGACTCCGTTAACCCAGAAATAGTACCTCGGGTTAAGAACTTTCCCTCAGGATGAGAACAGAAATCATGCGGCGGCAGCAGGAGGCCCCATTAGCTAAAGTAGTGCTTCAGGTTAAGAACAGTTTCAGGTTAAGAACAGACCTCCGGAACGAATTAAGTTCTTCACCTGAGGTACCACTGTATCTTAAAGATAGGGTATATCATCACAGAGTATGTGCAGAACAGGAGGGAGGAGGAGGCTTGGAAATGTGGGTGGTCTGTGTGCAAGAGGGAGTTGAGAAAAGGAGAGGAAGGAAAAAGGAGTGGAGGTGAACATGGGGGTGCAATGTTACAAAAGAATAGGGAAAGGGGGACATGGGATTGGGGGGCGAAGATGAGAGCAGGGGGATGCAGAATGCTTGCTTCGTAAGTAGGTGGAATGTAAAAGGAGTCCTTAACAGTTGCAATGTGTGAGAGGAGGAAGATGCAGGAGGTTACCATGGGGGGTGGTCTGTGTTCAAGAGGCGCCATGGACATATTGAAAACAGGGATGCAAAGTAGGGCTGCATAATAGAAGAGAGAACTGGCTTCAGAAATGGTGTTGGGAAGGTGTAAAGCAGGCACTCCCAAACTCGGCCCTCCAAATGTTTTGGGACTACAACTCCCATCATCCTTAGCTAACAGGACCAGTGGTCAGGGATGATGGGAATTGTAGTCCCAAAACATTTGGAGGGCCGAGTTTGGGGATGCCTACTGTAAAGGGAGCTTAGTTATTTGCATTGGGTGGGGTTGGTAAGTGGCGTGGGCAGGGGCACAGCCCCTAGTATTTATATATGGTTGTAACACAGCCTGGGACCTGGGAAGAAATATTATTCATTCATAATAAATTGATATAATAATAATAATAATAATAATAATAATAATAATGCTTTATTATTTGTACTCTGCCCACTCTGGGCGGCTTCCACAAAGACAAAAAATACACTAAGATGTCACACATTAAAAGCTTCTCTAAACAGGGCTGCCTTAAGATGTCTTCTGAATGTCAGGTAGTTGTTTATCTCTTTGACATCTGATGGGAGGGCGTTCCACAGGGTGGGCACCACTATCGAGAAGGCCCTCTGCCTGGTTCCCTGTAGCTTTGCTTCTCACAATGAGGGAACCGCCAGAAGACCCTCAGTGCTGGACCTCAGCGTCTGGGCAGAACGATGGGGGTGGAGACACTAATAACTAATAAATTATAATGCTAATAACTAATAAATAGCTTTTAAAAAGTAATCCAGAGTGATCTAAAGGCTCGTTTGGAATCTACAGAGAGTTTACACCAAGCCCATGATCCTCTGAGTCAAGCTGCCCTCCCTCTTTATTTCCCTAACAACTTAATCAAGATGCTGATGCTCATTTCAGAATGTTTTGTTTAAGCTTGTGGGAAAACATGCTTTATCTGAAAGGGAAAGCTCATGAATAATAACATTGGAAAGTTCAAAACGGCAGCTGGTGAGCACCTTGCTGATTACCACAAAATGTCACTAGACTTGCGAGCGTATTTAATCTGCACATAACTCACACGTTTGGGTCCTTCTGCCTTTCTGCTGTTTGACATGATCTCGCCTAAACTGCCTATACCTTTGACATGGTGGACTCGGCCGTACAGCTGCAAATGAAACGTTTTAAATGTGTTGCAAGGTGCAATATACAACTGTGACACTAGATGACGGCAGTGAGTTACGCCAAATTCAATGTATTTTTTAAAACTTTTTTTTAAAAAAGCATTTTAGCAGCATTTTTAAATATGTGTGTAGATTCCACCTGTGACTTGGATGGAATTTGGGTAGGTGGAAGCTTGATCTCCACCTCAACGCAGGATAAAATCCTTGAACATCTTTGCTGTGTACCTTTAAGAGTTGAGTAACAGGGGGATTTAGAGTAAGTGTATCAACATTGGGTCCCCCTAACTGGAGAGAGAGGGAGAAGAAGCATGACAACATTCGGTCAATACCTCTTAAGAAGCATCCAAATCCATAGCAAACAGACAGTTTCCCAAAATATCTAGTTTATTATTATTATTAAAGATTTTCTTGATTTACAAAAGTATGTGCAATGTCTCTCTCTTATTTTTCCCCATGTAACATTTTTTACAAATCAGTTTCATTTGTCAAGACATTAGGAAGAAAAGGGGGAAAGAGGTGGAGGGAGGGAAGATGGGTGGGGGTGGGGTCTGGTGGCGATGTTTCTATTATGCTTAATGTATGTAGGGTTTGGTGTCAGCGTTGCTTGTGCTGTTCACTTGTGTTCCTTTGGTGGTGAGAGGGGTTGGGGTTGGCCTAGGGTGTGGTTGTTCATTTGCGGTTGGCTTTGGTGGTCTTTGTTTTCATGTGTGAGTGGGGTGGGTGGGTGTTTTGGGTCAGGTTAGCAATATTGATTTGTATGCTGTTGGTGGATTTTTGTCATTGTCTTGTTGGGCTGTGTATGTGATAAAGGGGAGCCATCTTCTTCTGTTTGTCCCCGTGTCAGTTTCAGTTTATTGGTTAGTTTTTCTAGTAAAGCTGTTTCCCATACTATTTGGTACCATTGGTTCATGCTTACTCCTGACAGGTCTCTCCAGTGTCTGGTTATGATGTTTCTGGCTGCTGAAAGGAGGTGGGCTATGAGTTCTTTGTGGTGTAAATGGGCATTATTGTCTTGGAAGATGTTTAGTAGGGCCAATTCTGGGGTGATTTCTAATACTTGCTTAGTTAATTTACATATTTCGTGTATGGCTGTTGTCCAGAATAGTTGGATTTTGGGGCACTCCCACCACATGTAGAGGTATGTGCCTGTGGAGGCGCACCCTCTCCAGCATTTTGGTGAGGTTCCTGGGCGTATTAGCGCTAGTTTTCTTGGTGTTAGGTACCACCTGTAAGTGAGTTTCAGAGTGAGTTCTTTTCTCCAAAATATATAGTTAATGTGGTGGGCATGAGATGCTGAGAGATGCGTGGGGTGCCTAAGGCAATCTAGTAGCTAGGATAGCTCAGTCAATAGAGCATAAGACTCTTGCTCTTGTGGTCATAGGTTTGAGTCCCACGTTGGGCAAAAAGATTCCTGCATTACAGGGTCATTTCCATATATATTTTTTTAATTTTTTGCTGGTTTTTTTTTTAAAATGCTTTTCATTTTTCAAATCAAATTAATTCAAATTCAGTATGAATTTAAAAACTGACTTCCAACCCCACTTTGATGATGTTTCTCTTCCCTCCCATACTTGCTGCTCAATTTAACATACATTTCCTAATTCCATTTCAATACTTAAAATATTTTAACATTTAATCGTTATCCCACCCCACCCCCTCTTCACTTCCAATTGGCTATACATATTTCAATTCCTGCTTAGACTTACATTGGTCCTTTCTAATTCTACAGTCCTATGGTTCTGTGCCACAGGTAAGATTTCAACCAGAGACAACTTTACTGTGTAGAAAACAAAATAATATTAAACAAAGAAGTAAACAACCTCTTTATTGGCTAATACTTCCTTAAGAGCAGGAGGAGGATAAAGAGAAGGCAACATTCCAATAGGATGCCTTCTTTGTTAATGCTTGGAATGTATTTCTCCTATACAAAGGCTCTTGGGAAAGGGCACTGTTTTTTTTTTAATCCTAGGAAAAACTATACCATACACCCTCAATGTTAAAAATTTTCTCTGTTGTGCTCCAGATAATGAACCATATTCTTTCTCGTGTCAGTATTAGACCTGGATTGCTCTGAACCACAGATGTGGTCCATGCAGTGAGATTTTCTCCTCTGGTCCAACAACACCTGCATTTCTTAAGCAGAAATATCCAGCACATGCCAATTCCAGCAGCTCTAAATAAATTCTTATCTTGCAAAGCCGCTTGTGCTGTTCACTTTTCATCAGCTTGCAATGACAACCAGACCTCTGGAGCGAGTTATTTTATTTGCATCTCCCTCTTTGGAAGTACTACTATTAAAGTTTAAAGCGCCACAGAGCCTTCAGAGAGCACAGTTTTCTCCCAAGGTGGACAGTTACTGCCTAACTTGAAAGCCGGGCCTCAGTTTTGGTTCGGGCCAAATGTACATTTTATGTCTGTAAAGTGAAGCCCAGATTACCGTAAATGTTTCATGTGTCTGAGTAAAGTGCAGCACGAGGAAAACAAATAATCAATAATAAATAGAGTGGCAGGCTAGGATGAGCAAAATGTTGCAACAGTGTGTTTTCTGGAAGGTCTAATTATCCCGGAAGCAATCTGTGCCAACATGTCTTTACAACACTGCCTGCGACAACGGAAAGAACGAAAGAGAACAGAAAAGAAGACCCTCATGGAGGGGGGGAGCTGCTTGGGAAGGAGAATCGCCCCAAAACTGAGACTCCTATGGCAGCTGCCAGGATAATACACGCTAGCAAATGGAAGAGTGAAGCGATACCCATGAAAGAAGAATGGTTATACAAACTAAGCGAATTCATAGAAATGGCAAAGCCAGTGTGGTGTAGTGGTTAAGAGCGGTAGACTCGTAATCTGGGGAACTGGGTTCGCTTCCCCGCTCCTCCACATGCAGCTGCTGGGTGACCTTGGGCTAGTCACACTTCTCTGAAGTCTCTCAGTCCCACTCACCTCACAGAGTGTTTGTTGTGGGGGAGGAAGGGAAAGGAGAATGTTAGCCCCTTTGAGACTCCTTAGGGTAGTAATAAAGTGGGATATCAAATTCAAACTCCTTCCTCCTTTGGAATCAGCAAACCAAGACTTGTAGCTGTTGAATAATACTCTGCTAGAGCATCCTCACCAAAGGTCTCTTTCGGGGGGGGGATTTACTAGCAGGTGTGGGAGACCTTTACCTCTCCAGATGTTGCCATCATCCCTGGGCACTGGTCGTGCTTGCTAGGACTGATGGGAGTTATAGTTCAGCAACATCTGGAGGGCCAAAGGTTCCCCAGGCCTGATTTGCAGCACAGCTGGCTTCTCAGTGTCACGGTCCAGTCTACGGGCAATCAAAGTCCCGGCTGAGGACATTGGGACTGGGGGCAAGATGGTGGGATGGGAGCAGGAATGAGAGTCCAGGAGCCAGGGGTCTGAGGGTCAGGAAACAGGGAGTCACAAAGTCAAGAGTCTGAGGGTTGAGAAGCAAGGAGTCAAGAAGCCAAGGTCTGAGGATCAGGAAGGAAGAAGCCAAATGCAGTAAGGCAGGAAACGAGTTGCTGTGGCAAAGAGCCGAAGGGAAATGCTGACCTTATATCCCTTCCTGGCTCTTGCTGCCAGGTGCAGTGAGTTACCAAGCGGCCTCACCTGTGTGGCCGTGCCTTGCCTCTCCAGAACAAACTTAGGAAGGCCCCAGTCCTGCGAAGCCCTACTGGTCACAGGGCCTGGCTCCTGCACGCACATCTGACACTCAGGAAAAGATGTATGTTTCCATGCCTATTGAAGCCAACTGGGCATTGCAGGAACATCACTGGGCAAATACAACACACACACACACACACACACACACACACACACACACACTTGATCTTGCCTTGACCACATCTAAGAACGAGCTATAAAAAAATAGCCGTTTCAGAATATTTGTAGCAAGATTCGACGTCTTTCGCTCGCTGCAGTAGATGGAATTGTAGCTGCTCAGCTGCTAGATGCCATCATCCCATGGAAGCTTGACACGGCAAAGCAGCACAGCTGGAATGGTGTGCAAGAGTATTTATCTCAATGTCAACATTGGACAGGGAGATTACATCAATGTGCATCAATCCAGACATGCAGGGCCTCCAGGAGGCAGTCCCTTTATCCAAAGAGCTGGAGATGAGAGTGCTCACACTTGCAGTCATGTATTATTCCACAAGTAATCTCGAAAAAGCTTTCATACAACGGACTAGAAGAAAGGAGGAACGGTAAACCTCACTAAAATTAGGAGGCAGCCAATTTATTTTTTTATCATAGAATTGTAGGGATGGTACCCAGAGAGTCATCTAGTCCATCCCCCTTCAATGCAGGAACCAATTTGAAACCATACCGGACCCTGCTTAGCTTTGTAAATGTGCTGGCGGTTTTATTTTACTTATACATTGTGGTCAATATAAATTCATGAGCTTTTTTTTTTTAAAAAAAAATTATCTACAATAACATCACCTCACATAAACAAAAGATATTGCAAAGCTGGGAAAGGTTCAGAAAATGGCAACCAAAATGATTAAGGAGATGGAAACTTCCCTTAGGAGGAAAGGTTGTGGCATTTGAGCGAGGAAGAGGAGACATGATAGAGGTGTCTTAAGATTGTGCACGGTGTGGGGGAAAGAAATCTCAGCTCCCTCTCATCAAACCAGTACTCAGGAACATCTGATGAAGCTGAATGAAGTAAGAATAAGGGCAGGCAAAATAAAATACTGTCTTTTTCGCTCCATAAGACTCACCTGACCATAAGACGCACCTAGTTTTTAGAGGGGGAATGCAAGAAAAAAATTATTCTTTAAAGGGAGCGCTGAGCAGAGCCTGGGATGCATCCAGGCTCTGCTCAGCGCTCCCTTTCACGAGCCGCATGGAGTGTGTCTGTGGCGCTTGCAGGCTTTTCCCCGAGGAGGGAGAAGGGCAGCCCGTCACTGAAGGACTGCCCTTCTCCCTCCTTGGGGAAAAGCCCCTAAGAACCACACACATGCGGCTCTTTAAAGGGAGTGTGGCTCTTGGGGGCTTTTCCAGGAGGTGGGGGAAGGAACTGAGGGGCTAAGCCAGAAGCTAGAACAGCAAGAGGGAGCGCTGCGCAGCGATCCCTCTTGCTGTTCTGGCTTCTGGGATAGCTGTGCAGCCTGATTTCACTCCATAAGATGCACACACATTTCCCCTTACTTTTTAGGAAGGAAAAGGTGTGTCTTATAGAGCAAAAAATGCAGTACTTCTACAGACAATGTATAGGTATAATATGGGATTCGTTTCCTCATGAAGTAGCAGCGGTAACCAACTTGGATGGTTTCAAACGATGAGAAAAATTAGTGCAGGATAAGCTATCAATAGGACATGGGTGGTGGTGTGGTCCAAGCCACTGAACCTCTTGGGCTTGCCGATCAGAAGGTTGACAGTTCAAATCCATGCGATGGGGTGAGCTCCCGTTGCTCTGTCCCAGCTCCTGACAACCTAGCAGTTCAAAAGCACACCAGTGCAAGTAGATAAATAGGTACTGCTGCGGCGGGAAGGTAAATGGCACTTCCGTGCATTCTGGTTTCTGTCATGGTGTTCTGTTGCACCAAAAGCGGTTTAGTCATGCTGGCCACATGACCCGGAAAGCTGTCTGTGGACAAATGCCGGCTCCCTCGGCCTGAAAGCAAGATGAACGCCACACCCCATAGTCACCTTTGACTGGACTTAACCATCCAGGGGTCCTTTACCTTTTACCTTTGCTACCATATCTACTACCCGTGTAGTATCTAATACCGTAGGAATGAAATGATGTAACTTGTCCCTGGCCACCACCCTGTAGCAAAATACAGAAATAAATCCATTTGTACCATTCCTTATGCTGCCTCTTTTAAGCCTGTGGGCTGATGCGGGGCTGAAAACTATGTGGCTTTTACTCTTGTGTCCCCTGATGTGTTGCGTGAGCTTGGCATGTTCTCATTTGCGAAATCTTCCATTACTATGACTTGTCAAAGGAAAAACCGTAAGATAAAAAGAGAGAAAAATTGAAGTCAATGGTATCAGCCCATTCAAATGTCTATTAATGTCTTTCTCTGTGTGTGGTGCAGCATCTAATGTGCCAGAGAAGTGGCCTTAAACTGTTTTATGCATTTGAGCTGACTGTAGAAAAAATTCTAAAGAACGGGGAGCATAAGAAATTGCACAGGCAATTATTCACAGCAAGTCACAGACCAAAGTGTAAAGTTTCTTTATTAAATTTTAAAATGGCTGTACTCAAAGCTATGCAAGCTCTTGTCAACATACAAGGGTTTAATTTATTTTACTTTTGATTTTCATTAAGAGTATGTCCTGGAAAGCAATTGTCATTGCGCAAACAACAGATTGTGGGTTTAGTAATTTGCTCGGGGGGGTGGGGGTGGGAACCCCCTCACAAAACACAGGGAAGAAGCAAAACATTGCTAC